AATGCCCCAAAGTAGAGAGAGGGTATGGGGGAAATTGTCTGCCATAGAGGCAGGGGGAGGATTGGAAAGGGGAGGTATACTGGGAACATTTGGTGGTGGAGAATGTGCACTGGTGGAGAGATGGGTGTTTGATCATTGTGTGATTAAAACTCAAACATGAAAAGTTTATAACTTTATCTCACAGTGATTCAATTAAAAAAAATGTAGCACTGTCCTCCCGTTGTTCATCGATTTGCTCAAGCGGGCCCAGTAACATCTCCATTTTGAGACTTGTTGTTACTGTGTTTGGCATATTGAATGCGTCATGGGTAGCTTGCCAGGCTTTGCCGTGCAGGAAAGATACTCTTGGTAGCTTGCCGGGCTCTCCGAGAGGGGCAGAGGAATAGAACACCACTTGGCCAGGGTGACTGAGCACAAGGCAAATGCCCTACCCGCTGTGCTATAGCTCCAGCCCATTTAAAAAATAAATAAAATAAATAGATATTCAGCACAATGAAACAGAAAAATCTCCAATTTTATAAAACAATAAGTATGATTCTCACAAATACAATGCTTACCAGAAATGAAATAACTTTGAGATTCTAAAATAAAAATTGAAACACAAGTAAAACACAGTAATTTCTAATCATTAAAAGGTTTTTGAAAACTACAACTATTTTTTAAAATTTATTTATTGAATCACCGTGAGAAAAGCTTTCAGGTTTACAAAGCTTTCAGGTTTAAGTCTCAGTCATACAATGATTAAACACCCATCCCTTCACCAGTGCATATTTTTCACCATCATGAACCCCAATATACCCCCCTTCCAACCCCTCCCGATGCCTGTGAGGCAGATGATTTCTACTTAACTCTCTCTCTCTCTCTACTTTGGTTACATTCATTATTTCGACAAAAGATGCACCATTATTATTTGGAATTTCCCCCCAACAATCAGAACTGCTGAAAAGGCATTGTGAAATCATTTTTTTTCTATTGTTGGTTATAAAGACCATATGATGTCGCACAGCCTCGCAATTTCGGATTTCTGATATTTTATTATTAAGTCTGGAGGGATTTCTGCCAAGAGCCGGATAATTACGAGATTGGTTTGTGCGCCTCTGGGGCCATGGTCGTGCTGGAGAGCCGCTCATGGGGGGCAAATCGTGGCCTCAGTAGGGCGAGAAGGACATGCTGGTTCTGCCTCTATCCCATGAGGTTGCAGTTGCCCTGTCACCGCCGGCTCATACCTGGCTATCCTATAAGCTCTGAGGTAGCATACACCATGCTGCTGGGGGGAAAAGGCGGAAGAGACAGACACCCTTTCCCTCCCGGGGGTGGGGAGGTGCTGTAGTTTAACACATAGTACATTCATATTTCTGCCACAAGCTGCTGGGTACTGAATTAGGTCCGTGTGCCTCTGGGGCCATGGCTGTGCCAGAGAGCCGCTCATGGGGGGCAACTTGTGGCCTCGGTAGGGCATGATGGATGAAATCTTGCAACTATTCAAATAACATAATTTCTTCCTTATTAAGTAGGATTTCTTTCATCAATGTTATGAAATGACATATTATTTGAAGATCTGCTGAATGCTTTTAAAAGATAGAAGATATTAAACCCTTAAGGAAGGTCTTGAAGTAGATCTGGTAGAGTCCTGCCAGCATTGCTCTGCCACTATATGGATGCTTGTTTGAGGGATGATTGTGTTTGTGAAGATTCAGGAAGTGCAACCCTTCTGATATGTGTGAATTTCTATATAAACATATATGCCAATAAGAATATATTTAAAAAGAAATCCTAATTTCTTGGTGAGGAATGTGGCTTAGCAGTATTTGCCTTTTAAGTGTGAATGCCTGGCTTCAATTCCTGGCATTATCAAAAACAAAACAAAACAAAAACAAATCTCAGGTTATTCTTAATTTCTAAAAAATATATAAAGATTTTCCCTCTTCCTGTACTTTATTTTGTTCTTCGTCCCCTCCCCCCACCAAGAACTTACCATACAGATTAGAATATAACTATAATTCATCTTAAAGGTTTTGATGTCTTGATAATTGAACTGGAGTATAGCTTTTTAATGACTCTACTTTTAGAATCATTTTTTTTTGTCATTGGGCCACATAACAGCTGTTCTCAGGACTAACCTCTGGTTCTGCACTTGGAAATCATTCCTGGCAGACTCAGGGTCACTATGGGGTGCTGGGGATCAAGCCCAGATCAGCACACGCAAGGTAAGCAACCTACCAGCTGTGTGATTTCTCTGACCCCTATGATTCTACTGTTTTCTTTTTATATTGAATCACCGTGAGATATAGTTACAAAGCTTTCATGATTGAGTTTAAGTCATACAATGATTGAACACCCATCCCTCCACCAGTGTACGTTTTCTACCACCAATGTCCCCAGTATCCCTCCTGCCACCCCACGCTACCCCATCACCTGCCTCTGTGGCAGGCACCTGCCTTCTTACTCTCTCTACTTTTGAGCTTCATGGTTTGTAATACAGATTCTGAGAGGCCATCAGGTTTGTGATAGGGCCCACTTAGGCCCACCTCACTGAAATGACAACCAACTTCAAGAGTTGGGGGCCCAGTAAGGGGTGAGAAGGAAAGGTTTTTAATAAATACCTGAATAATAAATAGCCGAAGGGTTATTTATTAATCAAAACCATAAAGTTAACATTATCATACCAATCAGGAAAGACAGTTGGGTTTCTCGGTATAAAAAAGGCTCGGAGACATATTGACTTGCACATTCTCTGGGGAGAGGGCCCTGCTCTCTGCTAGGTGCAAAATGAAGTTTTGTTGAACTTTTGCAATTGTGTCTCACTTGTTCCTTAGATCATGGACCCTACCATATGGGGGTTTGCCCAGGATATAATGATGAGTGTAAGCCAGCACCAGAAATAGTCATCTAGGAATCCTCCAGAGGTAAGCTGTCTGTCTGTCTATGGAGAATCATCCAGAGGTACAGTGTCTGTCTGTCTGTCTTTGTATAAAACTCCACCTATGCCCTAAGGGGACGCAGTACTGCATCCTAGGCTCAGGGTGGGAGAGGGTTGCCCCTCCACCCCCTGGGGGTTCTCTAGGGAGTGTCCAAGTGACGGGCCCTCTGTGGGGAGATTTTGGAGTTTTGTGTCATTTTGTCTTACTGTCCCACTATGCCTCATCTTCTTCCAGATGGACAGATTAACCCCTTTTCTGGTCTGTCTTTTGTCTCTTTTTTGGTGTCTACTAAAGGAAGGCACATTTTCTGTGGTGACGGTGTGTCTCTCCCTTTCTGTCTTGTAGCCTTACCTGGCCTCATCTTCTCCTAGATGAGACAGACTAATGGGAAAGTGGCATTCTCACTCCTAACCGTAGTCACCCAACATTTCAAGGATGTCCAACTCAAGGCTCAACGTAATCATTTCTCTGAACATCCCCAGGACCTGATTTATCTCCTGACAAACATTTTTTTTCTGAGCCATCAGCCCACCTGGGTTGATATCCAGCAGTTGCTGCTCTCTCTCTTCATCGCAGAAGAGAGGAACCGCATCTGGTGGGAAGCAAGGAAGGTGGTGGCCAACCAAGTAGGCTTCCCAGACCTGGATGCACACCAACTGGATGTCATCTTCCAAAAAGAGCCCCCGCGATGGAATCCCAATGAGCCTCGAGGTAGGGAGAGTCTAGGCCTATACCACCAGGCTCTGTTGGGAGGTCCCTGGGCTGCGGTTAGAAAGCCCATCAATTTGCCAAAAATCACTATGGTGATACAAGGTGGGGAGGAGTTCCCAGCAGCTTTCCTGGAGGGCCTTTTTAAGGCATATAGGATGCACAGTCCTATAGACCCTGGGGCATTGGAGAATCAAAGACCCATAAACATTGCCTTCACGGCACAGTCCGCACTAGACATAATGAGGAAGCTGAGGAAGGCAGAGGGCTTTTTTTTTTTTTTGGCTTTTTGGGCAACACCTGGCTACGCACAGGGATTACTCCTGGCTCTGCACTCAGGAATTACCCCTGGCAGTGCTCAGGGGACCATATGGGATGCTGGGAATTGAACCTCGGTCGTGTGCAAGGCAAACACCCTACCTGCTGTGCTATTGCTTCAGCCCTGACAGAGGGATTTGAAGGAAAGAACCTATCAGAACTAGTTAGCAAAACAGAGAGAGTGGTTAATAATGGGGATGCACAGGAGTAGGATAGGCAAGTAAGAAAAATGATTGCAAATGATAGGCCTGAGGAGACCTCTGTGTAGAGAGTAGAAGGACCAGGCCCCACTGGATCCAGACCAATGTGCCTTTTGTGAGGAAAGGGGACATTGTGCCCAAGATTGACCTAAGAATAAGGCAGAGGCACAGGCTTCCAAACTATGGACCGATCCTCTTGGCCCTTGTCTATGACTTTTAATACTTCTAAGTTCTCTTATGTAATTAAAGTGTCCAACATTTGGCAAAAATTTTTAGTGTTCTTAATCACTAACGATAGCAGTAGGCATTTTCTTTTGATTGGAGGGTCTATGATAAATTAATAGGAAGTGTCTTATTTTGTCCTCCATATAGTTCCATAAAGCAAGCCTGTGAAGGCTCATTTGAAGATCAGTAAGCTAAGACTTAGGGAGATGGAATAACCTGGCAAAAGAGAAACACTCCCCAAAGTCATCATTTCCAGTGGTTGCAGTAAAACCTCTAAATGACTGATTCAGCAATAAACTCCATTCTGTTTAAGTTATTTTATACCTTTTATTCCTAAGAAGAAAGGCAATATCAGCTAACTCTGGTTCCTTGCCTGAGCTATGTGAATGATACCTCATGAAAATAATATAAGAATTGAGAACATGGAATGTTTGTGCTAAAATCCAAATTCCTAATCTCTAATGCCCAGCCCCAGTGGCTGAGTAACTCTAAATCAGGCAAGGGAACTGGCAAGAACTCTGAAATCAGACCCAGCAAGCATGTGTCCCTGAGTATCAAAATAGATACTATATTTACCCTGAAAAGCCCTTTAGTGCACTGACAGCTATAAATAGCTATTAGGGCCCAAGCAAGTGGCCTTGACACATGGATTTCATTCCAAAAATGCAAACTAGTTTTAAAAGATTGCATTACATTAAAAATTTAATTTAATTGAGTGCAACCAACCTGGATTCTGTTTGCTATCTTAGAGAAGGTGAGTAATTTTTAATTTTTGAATATTTGGGAATTAGTACACTCACAGGATTTTAGTTATAAAATAATGTCTGGGAGCCTGAACAGACCCTGGGTTTTTGGAGAGACTGTATGGACTTGGTGAACAAATGAAAGCACCTGCAAACTTGGGCCTTTTTCTCCTGCCTTCTGTCATTATCAGCATTGTCTTTGCCAATCTAGTTCATCTTAATTTTTTTGCAGAACAAGATGGGAGTCACAGCTATACTCATGCTGCCTTTGCTGCTCTTGGGAATCAGTGGCCTTCTCTTTATCTACCAAGAGGTGTCCAGGTTGTGGTCAAAGTCAGCTGTGCAGAACAAAGTCGTGGTGATTACTGATGCCATCTCAAGTCTGGGCAAGGGTAAGCGGGCTTCATCCCTTTTGTGTCCCTACTGCCTCGTGTGATGAGTGGTAGCAAGGAATAGGGTAAAATCTGTATTTTCTGCTAGCATCTGTCATTATCAAGAATCTTAACTTTTAGAGACTACAGCTTCTTCACTGGTAAACAGGGAGCTAGAATATCTGGGTTAACAAGCTCACAACCATTTGTTTTGGGTCGGATTTGTTTTGCATATATGATAGACTTCGCAAATATAATCAATGAAATATCAACATTTGTTGAGTATATTCCTTCGCCCCCTCGGAGAGCCCAGCAAGCTACCAAGAATATCTCGCCCACACGGCAAAGCCTGGCAGGCTACCCATGACATATTCAATATGCCAAACACAGTAACAAGTCTCACGATGGAGATGTTACTGGGCCCACTTGACCACATCGATGAACAACAGGAGGGCAGTGACAGTGACAGTGATTCTTTTCAAACACTCACATCTGTGCCATAAGATCATTGAAAAACATGAGTATGATCTCTGATATATTAGAATTGTTAAAAAATGCTATATTGCAGATATATATATATATATATATATATATATATCTTAGTGGTTTTCCCATCAAGATGTTGTTTTTAAAGACTATTCATTAAACACATATTTCTTTTGACAATTGCTCTATGTTCACACAAGTTGACATGTCAGAACCTTGTATCCTCTGAATTCATAAGAAGAATATCTTTTATTACACTTAGCTTCTGTGCTTTTTTTGTTTGTTTGATTTTTTGCTTTTTGGGTCACATCTGGCGATGCACAGGGGTCACTCCTGGCTCTGTACTCAGAAGTTACTCCTGGCACTGCTCAGGGGACCATATGGGAAGCTGGGAATCGAACTCGGGTCGGCCGCCTGCAAGGCAAACACCCTACCCGCTGTGCTATCTCTCCAGCCCCAGCTTCTGTGCTGTAATGACTAGGAAGTACAACTCTGCCTGAGTGCCATCACTGCTAAGATGCACTTACCCACCTTTAAATGATTCTGAAATCAAACTGTTTTTCTTTTTATCAATAGCCTCTTACAAAATTCACAGTTCATCCTTTTGCATTTGAATGTCATTATTCCTCCTTTCTCTTGGATGACCCTTGAGAAACTGGTCTCGGAATGCTCATGGCCCCTCTAGAAAACTCACCACAGCACACCTCTGGGTTCTAACTTTTGAGTCTTCCCCCTAAAATGCAAGGTTCATAGAGGAGACATAGGTTATGAAAAGTAGGACTCATATTTGTAAGGGGCAAAAGTCAGAATTTGGTGTGGAGTTTAACATTTGCTTTTCACCTACCAAGATGGTAAATACATTAGGAAATGGCTTGACAACAATATACTCCAACATGCATTTTGCTAAACAGTGGGGCGGGGAACAGGCCAAGTATCAGTATAGTTTAAAGTAAAGTTACCCAGCTGGGAAGCACATTGCTTCTGTTCACCCCTGGCTTAAAAGCTAACACCTCATTTCACTGAAACTCACTTTTATAAAACACATCCACCCACCATGGCTGCCGTGCAGAACTTCAGATTAAGGGTAGGCTTGCTTCCTTCAAATAAAAGTTGTTTTGTGGGGCTGGAGTGATAGCACAGCGGGTAGAGCATTTGCCTTGCACGCGGCCAACCCAGGTTCAATTCCCAGCATCCCATATGGTCCCCCAAGCACCGCCAGGAGTAACCCCTGAGCGTCGCTGGGTATGACCCAAAAAGAAAAAAAAAGTTATTTTGTTCTGTCATCTGTCCTTTGACACTCAGGTTTCTTTTAGATATTGGTTATTGCGAACGATATTGCTATGGAAAAGGAAGAAAAATGTCTTTTCAAAAGAAGTGAGCTTGTTAGCTTCTATGAAGACTCAATTCTTATTTTTTAGAGAAGTGTTCACTTTGTTTTCTACATAGTTTGAACCATCTGTCATTCCACCAATAGTGAATGAGGATTCCTTTTTTTGATATCCGTATCCATGCTGATTAGTTTTGCTTTTTTTCATGTGTTTCAGCTTAACTGATGTGAAGTGATATTGTCATGGGTGTTTGATTTGTATTTTCCTGATAATAAGTAATACAGAGCACTTTTAACTTGCCTATTGGCCACTTGTCTGTCTTCATTGAGGAAGCGTTCATTCATCTTTTACTACCATTTTTGATGAAGCTGTTTTTGTTGTTAAGATTTGCAAGTGCTATTTAAAGTCTTAAAGTCTTTTGTCAGATTAATGGTGAGCATTTTCTCCCAGTTGTGAAGTTTCTTTTATCTTAGTCATTACTTCTTTTACAGTGTAAAAACTTTTTAAAATTTCACGTAGTTCCACTTGCTTATTTTTCCTTCTGTTTGCTTGGCCAATGACATTGAAGACACTGCTAGATTTAATGTCATGAAAGTTTCTGCCTGTTTCTTCTATGTAGTTTTATGTCAAAGTCATCTTGTTTTGAAAGATTTTCTTTTCTTTCATTGTTTATTTTGATTTTGGAGGGAGGCTCTCCCGACAGAGCTCAGGGATTACTCCTGGCTCTGCATTCAAAAATCACTCCAGGAGATGCTTGGGGGCCATTATGTCCCATATGCTGGGGATGGTACCTGAGTGAGCTGCATGCAGGACAAGCACCTTACTCACTATATTACATCAAAGTCTTTAATCCGCTATAAATTACTTTTGGTAAGGTAAGACATTGGGGTTTGAGTTAATATTTTTTTTCACGTGACTTACCAGTTTCCTCAAGATCGTTTTTTGAATGAACTTTTTCTGATACACTTCATATACTGTTTAGGATTTTCTCAGTAAGTAGAACAAAATACTACATGAATGTATCTAGAAGGTATCACGTTAATGAAGTCAGTTAAAAGGAGAAGGACAGATTGAGAACAAGTTTCCTCATTTGTAGTTTATAAAGAACATTAATAGCAAAGGAATAAGAAATGACCAAAGAAAAGAGGAACAGAGAATTGATATATAGAACATAGTTTACCAAGATGCGGGGGGCAGGGGGAGAAGACAGGGGGTTGATGGGCTACTGATGTAGGAAGCCAACACTCTGGTGGCAGAAGCAATTTTAAAATTTTAAAGAGGAAATCACAGTGCCTCAATAAAAAGTGACAAAATAAACGTGTTTTATTATTTAAAATATTATCATAAAAACCACATGCATTAAAAGTGATATTTTAAAAGAACATAACACATCTAAAGTCCTACCTACTAGGCAGTGTTTCAATTTTCTTTCAACTCCTAATCATTAATGAGATAGCATAAATCAAGGGATATAAAGAAACTGTTCACACAAGCTGCTCACATTTTGTAGAAAATAAAATCTTACTTGTTCCCTGATTTGCTCGAGCGGGCCCAGTAACGTCTCCATTGGAGACTTTGTTGTTACTGTGTCTGGCATATCGAATACTCTCGGTAGCTTGCCGGGCTCTCCGAGAGGGGCGGAGGAATCGAACTCGGGTCGGCCATGTTGGCTGCTTGTAAGGCGAACGCCCTACCCGCTGTGCTATCGCTCCAGCCCTGATTTAAAAAATATTTTAAGACATTGCAGTTTTATTCATGTTATATTATACAAGGTCTTTGTCATATTTGGCAGCATCTATGTCCCAAAACAGAGAAAGATTCAGAAACTAATATGTACTGTATACAATGTAATACTATACAGCTGTTAGAAAAAAAATGATGTCATGAAATTCGCTTATAGATGAATGACATGGAGAGTATCATTCTGAGTAAAATAAGTCAGAAGGAGAGGGACAGATATAGAATCACTGCACTCATTTATGGGATATAAAAAAATATTATGAGACCAACTCCAAAGAACAGTAGAAACAAGTGTCAACAGGAATGGTCCATGGTTTAATGCCTACCTCAAAGGCTGATGGGATAGAGAAGGGACCATTATAACAAAGATGGTTGGAAGGGATCCTTCTGGATGAGAGATGTGTGCTGAAAGTGGGTAAAGGACCAAACATGATGGCCTTTTGGCATCTGTATTGCAAACCTTAATACCAAAAGAAGAAGAAAGATAAAGAGACAGAGAGACACAGAGAGAGACAGAGAGACAGATAGTGAGGAGAAGTGCCTGCTATAGAGGCAGGCTGGGGTGGTGGTGGTGATAGTGGCAGGAGGGATAGGAGGAATATTGCTGGTGGGAAATGTACACTGATGGGCGTTGGAACATTGTATGATTGAAACCCATGATAAAGGTTTTGTAACTGTATCTCAGAGTGATTCAATAAAATATATTATTAATGATGACACTTTCCATTGAAATAAATAAATAAATAAATAAATAAATAAGTTTATTTCCTTCCTCCACTCCTATCCAAAGTTTCAGACTTTTTGCTGATCCCTCTAAAAATAAAAGGACTGAAAGTAGAAGAGTAAGAGATAAAACAATCTTTTCTGACTAATCCTTTTATAACAAGACTCCAAGTCCCATAGTCTGAACATGTTTAAAATGTATTTTGATTTTTTGTCTTGTGGATATCTCTAGTCTTGTAGAGAATCTTCCTGCGAATATTTATCTACTCTCGAGTGAGTACATTACACATGCTCAATTTCACTTCATTCTCTAGTTTTTAGTCACCTTGCACGTAGGCCCCTTTTTTATGTCTTCCACTGCCTTTTTAATAGATGCCCTTACGCTGAATTAAAAAGAACTCCGGCAATTTTGTATCCTACCTCTGGGTCACTATGATTGTACAGTGTATTCTTTGGCAAGAAAAAACATATCTATATAAATATCAGCCACATTCCCTTCTCTCTAGACCATCCTTTCTTCACAAATCCAACTAAGACGATTGGATTAAATGACCTCTCAAAGACCTCTTGACCTTAGGCACTGTGAATCTTTTGAGTTATTGTAGTCATAAGTAAAGAAATCTCACCATGCGAGTCCATACATACAGTGGACACAGCCTCTCTTCTTTTCTTTTCCCCACAGAGTGTGCTCGGATATTCCACACAGGTGGCGCAAGGTTAGTGCTATGTGGAAAGAACTGGGAGAAACTAGAGACTCTACAGGATTCATTGACCAGTGTAGCTGACCCAAGCAAGGTAAGGTCTTCCATCAGTTGACTTTGCGTAAACATTGGGAATCCCTTAGCCTTTATTCAATAATGGGCACAGTAAAATTTTGCAATAACTGGGGCTGGAGTGATAGTGGAATGATTAGGATATTTGTCTTCCTTGTGGTAGACCCAGGTTTGCTCCCCGGCATTTCACATAACCCCCTAATCTCTTTAGGAGTGATCCCTGAGTGTGGAATAAGGAATAAGCTCTGAACATCATTGGGTGCGGTCCAAACACACCTCCCTTTCCCCCCAAGAGAAATTTTGTTATTACTTTGGGAGAATGTAAGACATATATGCCAGTCCTAAAGAATCCACTCATTCTAACTATGCATTAGGAAAAATCTGCACTCTACATGTTAATACTCCACTCCAAATTTAAATATTAGACTCAAAGCAGATACTGTTTTTAACAAATATGACCAAGCATTTATGAATGATATAGTATCTCCTCTGATATTTTTAAAAGAAATAAAGGAAGTACATTTTCAACTACTCATTTAAAACAAATACAAAACATAAACATAAATTTCAATGAAACTTTTGCTCTGAAAGTATTTTTTTTTGCTTTTTTGGGTCACACCCAGCGATGCACAGGGGTTACTCCTGGTTCATGCACTCAGGAATTACTCCTGGCCGTGCTTGGGGGACCATATGGGATGCTGGGAATCAAACCTGGGTCGGCCGCCTGCAAGGCAAACACCCTACCCACTGTGCTATCACTCCAGCCCTCTGAAAGTATTTTTAAAGGCCAGTTTCTTAGCATTTTTTTTTAAAAAAATCTTGGCTTACACTGTACCTCATGATGTCTCACTATTAAAAATAAAAATAATTTATATAACCTCTAATACAGTTTAAAACACACACATGCGTGCATGCACACACACACACATATATACTTTGAATTTCATGAAAAGCAGTAGTAGAAAACAATTTTATTCCAAAAATAAAGAGTATTAAAAAAAATCTTGGGCTTTGATGTTGAATTTTGTTTTTGGAAACAGTCTAAAGTAATTTTTTATTCAATCTGGTATTGGAGGAGATTAATTGAACAGGAAAACATTGTATGCTTCTTGTGATATTGGTAGGTATTAAATAAAAAAGATGCTGTAACTGCAGAGCCCTGAGCTGATCCCCCACACCCCATGTTATTCCACTGGGAGCAACACCCAGCACCAAGTCAGGAGCAGCGTTAGTGCACTCTTCAATGTGGACCCCTTAAAAAACAAAACCAAACAAATGAGGTTCTGAGGTCAGTTATATGATAAATACTAAGTTAAGCTTCCCTAATTTTAATTATTGCAGACATCATTATCTCCAAGAAAAACCTATAATCATTTCCCAAATAAGCCTAATGACAGTGCCCTTTTATAAAATTCATATTTCATGATTAATGTTTGTTCAACACTGAAATTGCATTGATAAGAGTTATCAATTGTCTTATCTGTGTCTCCTCTACACTATGAGTCTTGATGACAGTGAATATTTACAGTGTAACACAATAGGTGATACATCCTGGTGATCAAAAAATGTTGTTCTGGGCATTACTGTGAACAAAATAAAACATGAATGCAAAGTATTGTAACAATTTCTCTTGTTCCTTAGAATCCAATTTGGAAATAGATTTTCAAAAGAGGAGCTCAAAGATATCATAAGTGATGGCATATTTGGAATTACCCATCTGAGTTCCTTGGTCAAAATTCCAATTTATATCTCTTGTTTTATTTTTATTTTTTGGCCACACTTGGAAGTGTTCAGGGCTTAATTCTGGCTCTGTGTTTGGGGATTATTCCTGAAAGTGCTTGGGGGAACCACCTGGACTGCCAGGTGGAATGAGCCACGTTTGGCTACATGCAAGGCAAACAAACACCCTGTCCACTGTACTATCTCTCCAGCCCAACACTTCCAACTTATTTCTGCCAATTTATAAGTCTTATTAATGTTGCTAATTCTCTAGATCCCCCCAAATAACTTCTTCATTAATTCCCTTCTTTCCAGAGACAATTCTGTCTGGTCCTTGTTATTTGGAGGAAAGAGGAGTCTTTCTAGGAGCTCTTAATTTCTAAAGGGGTAACTGGTATTGAGGGACTACAATGTGTGTAAGAAGGAGGCATTTTTATACATGCTTAGGCTATTGCATTTGCTCAACAGACATTCACTCCGAAGTTGATCCTCTTGGACCTATCAGACATCAGTTGTGTTCAGGATGTGGCAAAAGAAATCCTGGATTGCTATGGTTGCGTGGATATCCTCATCAACAATGCCAGCATGAAGGTGAAGGGACCTGCTCATAAGATTTCACTGGAGCTTGACAAAAAGATCATGGATGCCAACTTTTTTGGACCCATCACCTTGACCAAAGGTAATGTGAATTTTCAATAGATTTTTGACAACCACTGCTAGAATGAATTCTTTAAAGTAATCAGGTGATCATTTGATTCTGAAGAGAGTCTCCAGAATCCCTAAGAAAGATCCCTATTTTATCCTGTGAAAGTTTCACATTCTGCCTGTAATGTTTAAAAGAGGAATCTGAAAGTATCATACTTACATATTTTAATTTCCTTTTATGTATAATCATCATACCTACCCAAGTCCTGCCTTCATTCCATTCTTCTTACTCATATCCATTGCATGTCCCCCACACCCCCAACTTTGGACCAATGTAACCTATTCTTTGCATATATTTGGGTAAATCATCCATGTAGTCTATGCTCCAAAGCAAGACACTTGGTGGAAGGTAGAGATCATAACCTCAGAAATAAAAATAAAGTTCCTAATACGAATCTCGGCCATTATTGAGTGTTAGTCTCTTATTTTGTTACTTTATGTTCCCCAGATGAATGCAATCTTTCTATGTCTAACCCTCTCTTTCTGACTCATTTCGCTTAGCATGATACTTTCCATGTAGTACCACTTGTATGTAAATTTCATGACTTCATTTTTTTCAAACTGCTACATATTACTCCATTGTGTAAATGTACCAAAGTTTCTTCAATCAGTCATCTGTTCTCATGGCACTCAGGTTTTTTCCAGATTCTGGCTATTGTAAAGAGTGCTGCAATGAACAAACAAGTGCAAAGGGCACTGGTGGAGGGATGGGTACTTGATCATTGTATAACTGAAACCCAAGCACAAAAATTTGTAAGTCTACAACTGTACCTCATAGTGTTTAACTAATACAAATTAAAAATAATAAAAAGAAATAAAACTAAAGGCTTATTTATAAACTCGAGACCAGTTATATTGTCAACCCCATAGTAGAAATGGGGAAAGCCAGAGGATGTCTCGCTTTTAAATGCAGAATGGCTGTTCATTTGCAAATATCTTGAATGAAGTTCTGAAGTCTGGAAGGCTAAGGATGGAGATACATGCAATTAAATAGAGAATTTAAAATTAAAATTCATCAAAACAGAACCCAAAGTGTGATGAAAATATGAGTATTTCTACTTAGGGTGTGGGATCCCATGACAGTAGCTGAGAAAGCATTAACTTACAATAATACCCAGCCATTACTTCCAAAATGAAAGGGCAATGAAAGGATGTATTTGGGGTTTGAAAAACGACTTCCTAAAGCTTCTTCAATGGTGTCCCAGAAATAAAAGTTTCCTCCAATCCAGTCCCTGTGGACACAACACGTCAACCAGTGTAGGTAATTCATTGTATCAATCCCGTATGTTCATTGACATCACTGTGAGGAAAGCACTAGAATGAAAAAGGCCAGGACTAGCTGATGTTCCTTCATGGACTCTAACTCTGGGGCTCAGTTTGCCTTCAGCATGCAGTGACTAGGTGTAGTTGATAATTATGAAAGTTAGGTGTTTTATTTTTTGTCATTCTATCTTTTTTCCCATTATGTCATTATTTACTTCATATTGTTTTTTGTTTTCTAATTTTTAGCTAATTTTAAGAGGTCCTTAAAAACCATGATAAATTTAAAAAAAATATTTTCTATCAATAAATAAAACATGGAAAAGATATTAAAGTTCCCAAAACAACTAATAAATGCTCATAACTGATATTTCCTCTTGAGTCACATATGCTAGAGAAATGCTTACAGTATTGTAGAATCAATTGTTCTTTATCACTATTGAAAAAAGTGTAAAATTATGCACTCTGGTGGGCCCCTGCACCCAGCAGTTCATCAGTTGAACCCAGACCACTGATAGTAAGCACTGGATAAATGATTATTGGATCCCATCCTAACTCTTCTCTACCAGTGAGGCAAAAGAATTATGCATGATGAAGGAAATACAGGGAAGGGATTTGCCTGCTACTACCTGACTTGGATCAATTTCTAACTATGATATTTTTCTGTGCCTTTCAGTTCTGCTTCCCAACATGCTCTCCCGGAGGACGGGCCAAATCATATTAGTGAATAACATTCAAGGGAAGTTTGGGATCCCATTCCGTACATCTTGTAAGTTTCTAAAACAAAAGTGTCTTATTTTAGGATGTGTGTCCTTTAATGGTTTTTTAAGTCACTCTCAGACATGCTGGGACTATTCTTAGTCAAATCCTTGTCCATTTTGTGCCTGAGAAATGAATCTGGATTTCCACATGCAAACATGTGCTCCCATCAGTAAGACTTAGTCCTGTTTTGTGTCTTATAAGAGATGTCATATCCAGGAATAGTTGTTGGCTAATGTGGAGGGAAGTCCAGGAATAAAATTTTTTTTGACTTTTTTATCTAATCAATTCCTATTCTGAACACCTATTGCATGAAGTTCACTATTGAAGATGCTGAAGTGTAAAAAATAAAGTCTTTATTTTCCCAAACTCACATCTCACAAGTTGTCAGTACAGGCCTTGGTTGAACATGCTCAATGCTAAATGAAGTTCATGCTCCTTAAAAAAGTGCACAACACTAGGATAATTGCCTCTTTCTTTATAAAGATGGTCTGTAACTGAGACGTTGTCATGTTTGTTCCTTGACCTACCTTCAGCACGCAGTTCCTATCTAGAGTGATCATTTCCAACTATCTTTGTTATAATGGTCCCTTCTCTATCCCAGTTAACTTCTTCCCCAGCACTTGAGGCAGGCTTCCAATCATAGACTAGTCCTTCTTGCCCCTTTTTCTACTGTCCTTGGATTCTCAGATTATATATTTTTTATTTTCCACAAATTCACTGTATCACTGTCCTCCCGTTGTTCATCGATTTGCTCAAGTGGGCCCAGTAGCATCTCCGTTGGAGACTTTGTTGTTACTGTGTTTGGCATATTGAATACATCACGGGTAGCTTGCCAGGCTCTGCCGTGCGGGCAAGATACTCTCGGTAGCTTGCCAGGCACTCCGAGGGGGTGGAGGAATCGAACTCGGGTCGGCCATGTTGGCTGCTTGCAAGGCAAACGCCCTACTGCTGTGCTATAGCTCCAGCCCCTTTCCACAAATTAGTCCAATCATTCTATGTCTGTCCTCTTTCTGATACCTTTCACTCAGCATGATGCTCTCCATGTCTATCCATTTATAAGCGAATTTCATGACTTCATTTTTCATAGCTACTACATAGTATGGGGCTGGAGCAATAACACAGCGGGTAGGGTGTTTGTTTGCCTTTCATGTGGCTGAACCAGCTGACCCGAGTTCAATTCTTCTGCCTTCTATTCCTCCGCCCCTCTTGGAGAGCCCAGCAAGCTACCAAGAGTATCTTGCCCACATGGCAAAGCCTGGCAAACTACCCATGACATATTCGATATGCCAAACATAGTAACAACAAGTCTCACAGTGTTACTGGGCCCGCTCGAGCCAATTGATGAAAAATGGGAGGACAGTGACAGTGACTACATAGTATTGTGTATATGTACCATAGTTTTGTTTTGTTTTGTTTTATTTTTAACCAGTCATTTGTTCTCAGGCACATAGGTTGTTTCCAGATTCTGGCTATTGTGAATAGTGCTGCCATAAATATAGAAGTGCAGATGGCTTTTCTGCTGTGTCTTACACAATTCTTATATCCCATAGCATTGTGCACAAATTAGGAACTCCGTAAATTTGTGCAGAAGGGACAGGTGCAAGGGAATGAAGGAATAATGGAAAAATGAATAGTATCCCTATATTTATCTGCTAGGGTTGGTGTAACAAAACCACAGAATGGATGGATTAAGCAGTAGAAATCATTACATTAAACAACAGTTCTGGAGGTTAGAAATTCAATAACAAGCTATCAGCAGGGTTGACTTTTCTTAAAGGCCCTCTTCTTTGCTTGGTGGTATCATATTCTTCACGTATTTTCACATGGTTACTTCTCTGTTCACACAAACTGGTGCTGTGTCCAAATTTCCTCTTCTATAAGGACACAAGGCAGTATAAATTAAGGTCTACCCTAAAGGCTTCATTTCAGTTTAATGCTAACCATTTAGAGGCCATCTCTCCACATAGTCACATTCTTTGGAAATGGGAGCAGGGTCTAGATTTTATCAATTTGGAGGAAAAAATTCAACCCATTTTACTCCCTTATGTTTTCATTTTTATTGCTTTTATATCCAGCAGAAAAAAAATCAGAATAAGTGGTTTCTCTGTGCTTCAGTGTTTGAATAATTCACCAACTGTCTTCTAAAGCAAAGCAATTTTCAGCCAATAACCTTTTCAACCAATTTTCTGATTTTTCATTCTACACACATTTGTTATTTTACCTTAAGTTGTTTAGATTCTAGTTGTTCTAGAGGTCTGAAATAATATGTCCTGTGATTTTAATTGTTAATGACCTTTGATGATGCTTTGTACTCAGGAAAGTTTGGTGTTATGGGATCCACAAGAGAAATCCTAATCCTACAAAGAAGATATAAAGGTTAGATTCCTGTACAATCTGGTACATTCACATAATCTCTCAGTTTTTCAACTATCAAGTAGGGATGATGGTAGTTCTGTCTTGCATAAAGTAGATTCCAATTTGAGAGAGTCTCTCCAAGGCACAGAAAATATCCAATTAGATCTGTCTGTCTGTCCTTCCATTGTTCATCAATTTGCTCGAGCGGGTCCAGTAATGTCTCCATTGGAGACTTTGTTGTTACTGTGTTTGGCATATCGAATACATCACGGGGAGCTTGCCAGGCTGTGTTGTATGAAAGGAGAGAAGGTTAGCACTCCCCTTGACAAGGATCCAATTAGATATGTTCACAAATTTATTATATAAAGAAGTTAGGGGCAGTCTTGATACCCCATCTGGGTTCTGTTGGTATAATCATTTATTTTAAATATTAGCTCTTTAGATTAAAATATCATGATTAATAATAAGGAAATATATATTAGAACCTATATATATTAGTCCAGTTTCTGGGGCAGAAACCCTTGGAATTTTTAAAATACTTAAAGCAATAAAAGTGTCACTCACACTAATGAGGTGACTAAGAAAGTCCCTAGAAAACATAAGGATAAGGGCTAATTGTCAGGGGAGAAATACTCTGATTAGAGTCTTTTAGGTCATGATCCATATACCCTGCCACATTTGGGAGAGGTTATACTCAAATCAATCACCAATGTCCAGCATTTAATAAACTCTGACTGCATAATGGTCATGGTCACGGTCACAGTCCTCCCGTTGTTCATCGATTTGCTTGAGCGGGCCCAGTAACGTCTCCATTGGAGACTTTGTTGTTACTGTGTTTGGCATATGAATACATCACGGGTAGCTTGCCAGGCTCTGCCCTGCGCGCGAGATACTCTCGGTAGCTTGCCTGGCTCTCCGAGAGGGGTGGAGGAATTGAACTCTGGTCGGCCATGTTGGCTGCAGGCAAGGCAAACGCCCTACCGCTGATGAAGCCTCAAAAAAAGGATGGATTCAGGCTGATAGATTTAGGGAGACTTGAGTAGAGAGGAGTACCTAAAGAGAGCATGGGTGCTTCCCATCTTTTTGCATGACTGTCTCTGATTGTTATTCTTATAGAAAGACTGCTTGTTTTTTCTGAATTCTGGGAGCTACTTTAGAAAATCCTGAGATCTTCAATCTATAGTTTATAGGTGCGTTTTGTGACTGTCATCTGAAGTATGTCTCATTTCTCTCTCTAATCTCATAATAATTGATTCAGATTATAGAAACAAACTGGTAATTAAAAATTGCTGGTGTGGAGAAAAAAATTCACACATTGAAATTGTTTGCAGAGTTAAGGTATTACATTTTTAACTAGCAAAACATCATCAAATATTGTTTCCAGAAGAACAAATGATCTGATGCCACAGAACTCACATTCTCCAGGTTCTCAAGACAGCAATAGACCAGGGTTCAAGGAATGATATAGCCTATGAATAGAGCCCATGGTGCCCCAAGGGGGCCCCAAAGCTGCTTCTCTTTTCTTTTTCTGCCACTCCCTTTTGACATTTTTCCCCTTGAAATCAAAGCTAGCGTGATCAAGAACATATTGTCCACTTTCCAAATGGTTTCTCTGAGCCCAGCATATATTCAGTGCCTATGGTAACTTCAAGAATATTCCTGACAAACAATCCTCTGTTGTAAACAAGGCACCTGTACCTTTAACACCTGCATTCTTAACCCTGCAGGGGACAAGGTAGAAGGTTATTTAAAGGGCATCTGGAGAGTATGCAACTCATGAGGACTACTTTGAGACAGAACTGGGTCTGATGAAAAACATCTGGGCTACAGCTAGAATTCATGTTCCCATTGTCTCACTCAAACCCTAGCAGATAACCCATTTCACCCTATCCAAATATGATTCCAAATTCCAAAACATCAGGGATGACAACTTTATTATTTCTGGATTACCAGAATTATCTATATCCAATTTATAGAATCCACCATTTGAATTAGAGTTTGTGAGTAAAGTTCTTGAACCATACTAAAAAAATGGAACCAAGAAGACAGAGTTCTCTTTCCCAGGTTCAGAGTGGCTACTTGCTCTCCTAAGGACTTTGGAGAAATCATGAGAACACCTGCTTGAACTGACCATTTTATATACTTATTTTTCCGATTTGGTCTCCACAGCAACTTGATTATGACAGTATTATTCCCCTTTTAAAGATAAGAAAATATCCTTACATAGGTAAAGTGATTTTCCAAGGGTCATACACAAGGTGGGAAACTAAACAAGATCTCTTTCTTTCTACTACATAAACTCTCATCCACAAAGTCAGGGGCAGAGCTGGGCATCTGAGACTCTATTCAGTGAACTTACATGACTGTGCCTGCTGGTATCTTGTCTTTGAAGTTCCCTAGAAGCAACCCACACTCCAGCAAAAGCTCTCAGCTTCTAGTATGTTTTCTCTCCAGATGCGGCCTCCAAGCATGCTGTGCTGGGCTTCTTTGACTGCCTCCGAGCTGAAGTGGAGGAATATGATGTTGTGGTCAGCACTGTGAGTCCAACGTTTATCCGATCTTACCACAGCTCTACTGGCCAAGGAACTTCTATTTGGAGATGTGAGTTTTCAAAGGGAAACTATAGAGATAGACAAGGGAGGGATACAGGAGCCTCTGAGACACCTTGGTTTTTTTAGGCCCATGTTTCTATGTTTGAAATTGAGGGAAGTAAAGATTTTGTACTATGTTAATTGGACAAATGGAAATGATACTGGTGCCCGCTCGAGTAAATCGATGAATGGGATGACAGTGATACAGTGATATAGTTAATGGCAGAAAAAGGTTCCCAGTCTTTGACCCTCAGACCCCGGGGGGGGGGAGGGGAGAGAGAGAGAGACAGAGAGAGACAGAGAGACAGAGATAGATACTCTTAAACCAAAACAGCAGACCAAGGAAGTCCCAATGGGACTCAGTCAAAATTTCCATAAATAAACCAGCCATTTCCCTTCTCTGACTCTGTTTTCACGATCCCAGCCATCTGACTATAATATTGGACAAGTGACTACCTGAATTTCAATTTCCTGTGGAATAGCTAATATTTGGTTTTCATATTCTTCCTTACTCACTTTCACTAGGAGGCAGTACTGACTCTTAAGGCTGAAGCCAGATTATGTGCATTAGAAACTAGCTCTGTCACATATTAAATATTTGAACATAAGTAATTCCCTTAATCTCTGTTCTTCAGTTTTCCCTTTACAAATAAAATAGGTTGGTAATAGCTATCTCACAGGCTCATTGGGAGGAGAGATATTTCAGCTCCTACAAATTTTTGAAAGCAACTAACACATAGTGAGTGCAATGTTAATGAACTGGTTATTATTAATATTTGAGAATGCTCAAACACAAGGCCTCAATCTGTACTGAGCCCAGATTAGCCAAGATGTGAGAAAGTGATTCCCAGAAGGCTCTTGCAAGTACAGTTTTCAAACAGTGTGATAAGCCATAACCCTTAATGCAGTCCACAACTTCTTATTTTTAAGCTCTTATTCACCTTTCCGCTACTCATAGCCACCATAAGGCACAGTGTTTCCTCAGTGCCTCATAGTCAGCAGACGACAGAGGTAACATGGAAGTCATGACTTCTTTATTATTGGCTAGGTGGAAGTTTATTTTCCTTCTCAGATGATGACATTGAACTCCTCTGGGAAATTTCTAGTCTTTTTCAGGAAGCTGACCTATGGGGTTCACCCCGTGGATGTGGCTGAGGAGGTGATGCGCACCGTGAGGCGGAGGAAGCAGGAGGTCTTCATGGCCAACCCCATCCCCAGGGCTGCTGTGTACACCCGCACCTTCTTCCCAGAGTTCTTTTTCGCTGTGGTGGCCTGTGGGGTGAAGGAAAAGCTGAATGTCCCAGAAGAGAATTAATGGCAGGCGACCATATAGATCACCCTGAAGGGAATAAAGATTTTCTTGGAAGATACTTGTTTCTACACGATGATAAACGCTGGAACCCCCAAGTGTTATCATTGGTAATTTGGAGGTATTTCCCATTCCCCCATTCCAGGACACTCTTCCAGAAAGAGGAAACTTCAGGTTGTCTAACAAGTCCAGCATATAGACACACACACCACACCACACACACAGACACACAAAAACTCATATTCACACAAAACTGAATGAACAGAACTTCTTGCAACCATGGAATTATCCTGTAAGTCCGTTGTTGATAATGGCAGCAGCAAACCACGCACCACATGTTGCCATTAGCACTTATAATGTATTCTGGAAATTGAGTTTATTTTCTATGTTAATTTGAATTTAAATAGCTACATGTATCTAGTAACTCCTAGGTTGGTGACATGCAAAAATCAGTCTCCTTTCCAGACTTACTTGCTTCCAGGAGGAACCCAGTAACAAGTTATGTTTTTAAAACCTCTTTTAATTCTTTTTTTTTTTGGTTTTGGGGCCACACCGGGCAATGCTCAGGAGGGAGGATCATTATGGTATGACAGAGATCAAACCCAGTTAGGCTGAGTACCCAGTGTACTATGACTCTGACCCACTATTCTTTTTAAAAAGAGATTCTCAAACTATTCCGAAATGCAATATATTTGAGAGCATCTGCAATGGAATCTCCTCCTCATTTCAGCCTTTGCTTATGTTTTCAAAACAAAACAGTTTTATTTATAATTACCATCCTAGTTATTAGTGTGTCCTGTTATCCCTTTAATTTTGACATCAAATTAATTATTCTTTGAAAGTATAGTGTGTTTTTAACAAATTTGTACAAAGTATCTTCAAAAGTATAGTGTACACAATTTGCACTATTTTTTAACTACAGCAGCAAATTTTCTAATAGTTATAGATGAAAAACTGCTCAAATTTCTTCCTAACTCAAGCCATTTAAGGAAGTAAGAAAGGAGAGGAGAATGAAAGACTGTCTTGGAAGTGTTGTAGGTGACTTATGTGAAGTGAGGATAACTACTCATTATCCACCTTAGTCACCTGGGAAGTGCATGGATGGTTTAGAATTGATGAAAGTCTTCTTTGAGCAATGGCATGGCACAGACATTTCTTTATTAAATTTAATTTTATTTTTATAAAGTTGCTCACAATAATTTATTACAATTACACTATCATCAACACCATATTTCAAAATTTTCCATCCTACATCTAAAGCCTGCCCCCAAAGCAGGTCTTAAATATTCTGTTTTGTATTGCTTGTTATGAATAATCTGCTAAAAAACAATCCAATAAAGCTTCCTTAGAGGAAAGTGTGGGAAGATTGTTGTATCTGATCCTGAAGCCATTAAGCCTCATATAAGAGATTACTAACATGTTAAAAGTTGAACGTTGTGTGCTAATGTATGTATATAACATATAACACTATATATAATACACAATATAATATATATAACACATTCAAATATATATAATCGAGATTTATTGCCTTCTACTTTACATACCACGAACATGGAATGCTACTTTTGATACATCAGTATCAATCATGAATATGAAATTAATGGACATATGCACCAGGAATTCTAAGATTTTAAATAGGATGATACAGCTAGAACTAAATTTTTGACTGGATGGTGACTTTGGGGTCTGGAGGCATCTCTGAAGCATGTTGTTCTCTTCTGAGGTTTATTTGTGAGTCTCTGGTTCATGGCCACTAATGAGCTTATATGGTGCCAGAGGTAGTTTACAATTGTGACTGCCAGACTCCCAGAAGAACAGGGAGATAGGAGGAGGTTGGTCTGATTCTGCATAATCCTGGAAATTCTGATCACAAATCCCACATACTTGGGTTTTTCAGCAGATTTACTCATTGGATGAGGCTCCCCTGAGCCTGCTGTGGAGATCGGCCATGAGCATGATGGTGATTGAGTTCTGGAGGTTTCTGGCTGCTGGAGCTTTGTTGGAGTAGGTGGTGGGACTCACCCACTCCCCTCTGGGTTGCTCCTGATAAGACAGCCTGGTGCAGGATTCAAAGGCATCTCTGCGGTGTATTGCTCTCTTCCACTTCTGAGGTTTATTTGTGAGTCTCGGCACAGTGATTTTATCTCACAAGATACACATGACTATCATCAAACTGCACTTGAGTTCCACATGAATTTTCCAGAAATGCCAAACTCAGACTGAGAAAGGAATTACTTTTTTAAAGAAAGGTAAAACCAATTCTATCCTCTTCCTAGGTTACTCTTTTTGATATTTCTACTCTTACTGGCTGGAGCGGTAGCATAGAGGTAGGGCATTTACCTTGCGCTCAGCCAGCCCAGCTGAGCCGGGTTCGATTCCTCTGCCCTTCTCGGAGAGCCCTGCAAGCTACCGAGAGTATCTCACCTGCACAGCGAAGCCTGGCAAGCTACGCGTGATGTATTCGATATGCCAAACACAGTAACAAGAAGTCTCAAAATGGAGACGTTACTGGGCCCGCTCGAGCAAAATTGATGAACAATGGGAGGACAGTATTGTTGTTGTTGTTGTTGTCTACTCTTACAGAAAAGAATTTCAGAAAGAAGACAAATAGTGAAGTAAGTTTTGTGAAAAATGAGGTGGGAGTAAGAGTTTCACATTCAAATGAAAATGTGGACTTCCCAGAGTGGGGAAGGCATAAAAATTCCAGTAGAGCTGTGGGAAAATCTTGACGATGTAGAGTGCAATCCATGAAAAAAAATTAATAATAGTATACGTATCTGACTGAGATGTGGATCATCTCCCCAGAATGAGAAAATACATGCCCTTTTCTTTGCCAAGTTAGTTTCTATACACTTTTCCAAATTGTCCAGCAAAGTCTGCTGCTGCTGCTGCTGCTGCATGTGTGTGTGTGGTGGGGTGTGTATGTGTTGAGCTCGATAGTATTAATCTTCTTTGTCACTCTCTTAGTATTTTTTAATGTTTGTATTTAATTAAAGGACCATGATTGTCAAAGTTATTGAGAGATCGTTTTAGACATACAATACTCCAACACCAATCCCATTGTCAGTGTCAACTTTCCTCCACCAGTGTTCCCATACTATCCTCCTTTCCAGGTTTCTCTTCACATGCTACCATACAGGCACATTTTAAAATTTGGTGGTTGTGGTTTAGATCTAGTATATTGATATTGAGTCTGTTGAAATGCTATTATAAAGCTATAGTGATCAAAAGTACATGATATTGGAATAAATATAGGCTGTGGCCAAAGGATCAGAGTTGAATATCCAAGGCCAAAACCCATACTTATGGAAAGATCATCTTCAACGAAGAATCTGAGAATATTAAATGAACTAAAGACAGTCTCTTTAAACAAATGGTTCTGGGAAAACTAGATAACCAAATGTGAAAAATTACAGCTTTAGAACCCTCTTCTTATAAGAGATGTCATATCCAGAAATAGTTGTTGGTTAATGTGGAGGGAAGCTCAGGAATAAAATGTTTTGTTGACTTTTTTATCTATTCAATTCCTATTCTGAATACCTATTGCATGAAGTTCACTATTGAAGATGCTGAAATGTAAAAAATAAAGTCTTTATTTTCCCAAACTCACATCTCACAAATTGTCAGTACAGGCCTTGGTTGAACATGCTCAATGCTAAATGAAGTTCATGCTCCTGACAAAGGTGCACAACACTAGGATAATTGTCTCTTCATTTATAAAGATGGTCTGTAACTGAGAGGTTGTCATGTTTGTTCCTTGACCTACCTTCAGCACACAGTTCATATCCAGAGTGATCATTTCCAACTGCCTTTGTTACAATGGTTCTTTCTCTATTCCAGTTGCCTTCTTTCCCAACACTCCTGCCAACTACTCCCCAGAGTCGCCAGTACCATGTCCCCATAGGCTGCCCCTCTGGATATCCTCTTGTTGCTAGAAGTCATCTCAGCGACCATGCTGATACCCCAAACATGAAGTGCAACATCTTACCTTCATCTGCCCCACTAAGACACAGGCTGGTAGGTAGTGGGAGGTTCACAATTCAGCCTCAGAATACTTCCATAACAACACTGGTGTCTAAACAGGAGTAACTAGACCTACAACTGCTTTTTCATAGTACTGCCCGTCACAGGACCAGTGAATGGTTAGAAAAAGAGATAAACAGTAGCCAAAAAACTAATCAGATCAGTACAAATTAGCTAGTCAGATCAATGCTCCAATACTGAAAAAGTTACAACTGAACTCACAGAACCTGAAAAAATCTCAGGACAATGGGTAGACAAAAGAATTCACCTAAAATGGGCAGACAGAGAGACAAGAGTCCTTGAAAATCCTCAAACTTGACAAGAATCCCTAGCCTCATAGAGGAGGACTTCAAATCAGTGCTACATTCAATGGAAAAGGAAAGCAATCACTGGAGGTTGAACTTAATCAGATCAAGGAAAAATTGATTTAGAATATCAAAGAGTTTAAACAAACAAAATTGAAGAAGTTATGGAATACTATAGCAAGCTAAAGCAGCAGAATTCAAGAAAGCAGAGAATTCTTATATTGCCATTGAAGACAATGTGTGCTTAGTAGCTAACAATAATTAAGCAGCAAAAGAAAAAGGAAACAGACAAAAGAGAAGGTAAAATTCTTAATTGGTAGCATCATGAGGAATAATTTCTGAATTATACTAATACCACAAGGAGAGGTTAAAGAGAACAGGTATGAACAGTTGCTGGAAGCAATAATAACAGAGAACTTTTCAGTTTATGTTGGGAAGCTTTTGCACAGAATGAAGAGGTACAAAGATTGAAAAACAAAATTGAGACAAAAAAATAACACCAAGAGACGTGGTAATTGAAGTGGTAAAAACACAATACATAAATAAACTACTTAAGGAATTAAAAGAAAAAGAAAACCTCAACTACAAGAAAAATGATATAAGAATCACCACAGATCTCTGATATTGTGTCATAAAAGAAAGAAAGGAATGGAATGACATATACAAAGTACTTTTAAATTAAAAAACCTTCAAACCAAGACAAACTCTGAAAATTTTTCATTTATATGTGAGGTAGAGATATAAAAACCTTTTCAGACTGAAACAAGAAGACAAAATTTGCAGTATCTAAACCAAACTTTCAAGAAGTATTGAAAACCTGCTTATAGAAAGCAACCAGACATTTGCAAAAGTAACCAAGGTACCCACACAACAAAAATCGCTCTGAACATCAATGGACTAAAATTTCCTATCAAAAGGCATAAAGTATGTAGATGTATAAGAAAAGAAAACCCGTCTATCTTTTTATAGGAAACACACCTAAACTTTAATACTGGTTCAAATTGAAAAGACAGAAAACAATCATATAAGTCAATGGTAGAAAGAAAGCAGTCTGAACAGCCATAATTCTATCAGACCAAATAGCATTCAACCTAAAGAAAGTAATTAGATGACAAAGAGAGACACAATTTTTTGGTTAAGGGAGCAATTAACTAGCAGTACTAATTCCTATTTAACATCTATGAACTCAACAAAAGACCAGCAATTTTTTTTAAATTTATTTTTTGAATCACCGTGAGAACAGTTAAAAAGCTTTCATGTTTGAGTCTCAGTCATACAATGATCAAATACCCAGCCCTCCACCAGTGCAAATTTTTCACCACAAAATCCCCATTTACCCCCCATCCCACCCCTACCCCTACCTTTATGGCAGATCATTTCCACCTTACTCTCTCTACTTTGATTACATTCAATATTTCAACACCAGTCCCACCATTATTATTTGGAAATTTCCCCCCAACACTGAGACCTGCCAAAAAGGCCATGCTAGAAAATTTGTTTTGTATTGCTGGTTATGAATAGCATATGATGTCACGTGGCTGGGAAAGTGGTCATATGGTCTTGGAATTCTAAAATTCTAATAGTTAGGTCTGGAGAGATTTCTGCCGAGAGCCACTCGGTTCGGAGATTTGTTTGTGTGTCTCTGGGATCATGACCGTTAAGGAGCTTAATAAATAGCCAGGGAGTGGGGGGCATTTGTGGGTGGCATCTCAGGGTCCTGTCAGGGCAGAGGAGAAGGATGGGCTCCTCCCCTATCCTGTGAGGTCTGGAGTGTGTCTTCACTATGGCTCATACCTGGATTTTCCAATGAGTTTTGGAAGATGGTGACCTCCGGGCTTCTCAGGGAATAGGCAGAGGGATGACACGTTTTTCCATCTGAGATGGCCCGGTGAAGGTGGCCTAATGCAAATCTGCCAAGAGCCGCTCAGTTCTGAGATTTGTGTGTCTCTGGGATCATGATGGTTATGTTGCTTAATAAGTAGCTGGAGGCAGTTTGTGGGCAGCATCTCAGGGTCCCTTTGGGA